AATCAAGTTTAATGATAAAGAATGCAGAAAAATGCCTGTTAAATCATAATGAACGAAAACTCATCTGTATGCTAAAACATAATATTTAATGAGGACAGTGCACACCACACTGAGACTCTAGAAAAGACAAAGGTTTTCACTCTTCCTGAAAAGTTTTAACATTATTAAAAAAATATCTTACTGAACAAATTCTCATTTTATTATACTAATACTTTTCATTTCTTAATAAATAAAGGAAACTTACCTATCAACAAATCTGAAACAGATCCTATACAATATTCCATTACAAGCTACATGGGAAAAAAATGATAAAGACATTAAAATACACTATTAAAATTAAAAGATTCTATATGAGATAAAACAAATTCACCAAGGAGATTGAGAAGATACTTTGAAGTGAAACAAACTCTAGTTATCAATTACCTTTAATTATACATTCTGTGAACTTGTTAAATGCATACATAAAATTAAGCCAATACTACATTAATCTTCTATAATGCCAACATAGAACTGCTTGTAGATGTGTTTCATATAATTACTAACTAAAGCTATAAAGGAATATACATATTCTATTAATATTAACCTACAGTAGCAATACTGGTATTGTTAGGAAGCAGAAAATTATCCTCTGGTACTATATATACAAAGTTTAGGTTACAGTTCAAATCTTTCTTATAAAGCCAACACAGAGCACGTCTTATGTGCCAGGTATTTTATATATATTAACTAATTTAATCCTCATAGCCACATTTGGAAGTAGACCCTATTATCATCCTTGTTTTACAGATGGAGAACCTGAAAGACAGAGAGGCAGTCTACCCTGTCAGCCACTGTTTTTTCTTTAACCACAGCCTCAAATTTAGGAGAACCATCACCACTAAATTAAACCAAATGTTACAAATCTAAATCTAAGTTCAGTATATTAAAATGATAATCAGCTATAGCTCATTAAAAATAAAAGGTCATTCCTGTTCTAAGAAAATTTAGCCTTCCTATTAAAAGACATAATTACTATGCCTATACTGTTGTAAGATTACTACTTTATCTTAGTTTAAACAATGGGGCAAAATTAATTTCCATTTTCTGCAATAAAATGTCTCAATTTTCCACCTTTAGTATCATTCAGCCAAAGAATCACAATCAGTTCAGATGTCTTCAAGATTCACCACCGACATTCCACACAAGACCCTTGTGGTTAAATAGTTTATAATACATTTATGTCAAAAATGTATGCTGATTTTCATGCTTGAGTGATAGGATTGTTTTCAACAAATGTTTGATAAAGCATTTGAAGAATGATACCGATAACATACATCAGAACATTTTCCCATGCACGTAATGATCAGGTGAATCTCTGAAGTAAGCTGGCAAAAGTTCTATTATCTCTTACTGCCCAAGAGTTCCAGGAAAAGCTGCTCCTCCTTTCTCAGTGTGAACTAACATTTCAAGGTGTTTGTGCATGGCTTTACACAACCATTTTGAGACATTTTTGAATTAATTATAAACTAAACCTACTAAAATTACAGCAAGGGGAGAGCAGATACCTACCCATGCTGTGTGCTCACTTAAATAGCAGCCTTTGGATTCTATAATGTTGGGATGTTTTAATATTTGTAGAAACCTGACTTCCTTAATAATGTCCTGCCATTTCTGTGGGGAGAAAAAAAGAATAAAGGAAATAATTAGGAACAGTTGCTTTTCCTTAGAAAGCTATACAAGTAAAAAAGTAATTATTAGATCAAAATGTTAATAAGAACATACAACTTTGTTTCATTTGTAATATTTAAATGTCAAACTAATACATTTTAAAGAACTTATGTCCATATAGTTTACAACTCAATTACATAAAATTCATTCCAGGTAGGACATATTTTTATTTTCATAAAATTTATTATCAATGAGTCTTATTAAAATTTTACAATAACACACCAAGCCTGTTGAAAACTATATACTATATTTAGTGGTTTTTCTTCAAAAGTTCAACCTCTTCCTTCTTTTGTGCAGCTTTATTGTTGCATAATTTACATACCTTAAAGTTCAGCTGTTGTGTTTTTGGCTTATATTGTCTACCTAATGTTAAGTTTTTTCTGCTGTTTAAACTCAGATCAAGTAATTACCTAAATTCCTAAATGCACATATTCTAAAATGCTAGTGAACACTTAGGTTATAACAGAGGGAAGTTCACAGAAAAACCAGGCAGCATGAAAACATTTTCCTACAGGATTTTACGAAGAGCCTTCCCATTGATGCCTACTAGTAAATGACAGATGAACCTTCAGCAATTAAAGCTACTCTATGACAACTTCAGAAACTTAGGCCATATCCTAACTATAGTTACTTCTAAGAAGCAATCAGGGAACTCTGAAAATACAGGTACTTGGGCCCATACCCAGAGACTCTAGAAGCTTAGTAGATGTGGGATGGGAACTTGGAATCTGTTTTTTGTTCTTGTTTCAGTTTTTCCAAGCTTTACCGCTGACTTGTATCCTATTTCTAAAGGTAGGGGAACTAGAATACAGAACTTTAAAAAATGTTTTGCACTAGAATTTAAGATCCTATATCTCCTATGTTATTTCATAAGCCCTCAAGAAAATAGAGCAAGATATTCACAGTGTAAAATGTGTAAGCTGGAAGATGCTAAGTTTAGAGAGTGTTTTATGGGCTTTACATTTCAAATTTGAATGCTCTGGGAGCAAACTCTCAAAACAAAACAAAACAAAGCTAAAACCTGTATTCTTCAATGTAAAAAACACTTCCAGGAAGGATACAATATTGGATGAGAGAAGATGCTGCCCTAGGTGAAACTTTTTGTTCTAGGCATGACTAATTAAACAGACTCCAACACAAGTTGGCTAGGAAAGCTAGTTGTAAAGGTATGCTATAGATTGGCAAATAAAAATACAGTAAACTTGTAAAAAATGGAGTTTTTTGAGGGGTTTTAGAAATTATTAAGAGTTTTTTTAGGTATCAACATAATGGAACAGTGATCAATCACAACAGTGTTATCATACCCATAAGTGTGATTATCACAAAAAACAAGATTTACCATAAAATAGGGATTCCAGAAATATACAAAAACAAAACCTTCAAAAATTAAAGACTGATCCAGCAATTCTACCTCTGAGCATATACCCTGAGGTATTAAAAGCAGGGACTCAAAGAAATATTTGTGTACCTATGCTCATAGGAGCATTATTCACAATAAACAAGGGGTAGAAGCAACTAAGTGACCATTTACAGATAATGGATGGAGAAAATGTGGTGTTTTTACAGACACACACACAGAGTCACAAACACACACAACATGGATGAACTTTGAGTACACTATATTAAGTGAAACAAGCCAGTCACAAAAGGACAAATAGTGCATGATTTCAATTACATGAGATACATAAAGGAGTCAAATTCAGAGAGACAGAAAGTAGAAAGGTGATTTCCAGGGGCTGCAGGGAGGAGGCAATAAGGAGTTATTGTTTGATGGGTGTAGAATACCACTTTTGCAAAATGAAAGAGTTCTGCAGATGGATGGTGGTGTTGGTTGCACAGCAATGTGAATGTCCTTAATGCCACTGAACTTACACTTAAAGTGTAAAGATAGTAAATTTGTTTAGTGTACTTTACCACAATTAAAAATAATTAAATTTTTGAAGAATTAAAGAAACAGATAACACTTAAGAAGTAGACATTTTATAAACTTATGCAATTAATAACTAATCAGAATACTGAAGAACAAAAGTACATGCAATACAGTATCAATAATTTTATTTTTCAGATTATTACCTTATTTTTCAGACTAAATATATGCTGCCTGATGATTATTGGAAACTGTGATTAGATAATTTCTCTACCATTAAAAACTTATATCCAATATACTTACTGTCAAATGTGCCTTACTCTAGTTTACTTTCTTAGACATGATAATCCCTCTATTATAGAATAAACTGCTAAACAACAATTTAAAAAATTAAACTTGTGTCAGGAGCACATATCTTAAACAATTAAAAGTAAGGGACACAGTTGAGAGGTTTCTGGAATGTCAGGAATGTTATTTAGGGCTCTAGGTACAATTTAAATGGGCACATTGAGTCTGTGGAAGAAAATTCACTGAGATATACACTTAATATTTGTATGTTTTTCAACATTAAAAAAAAAAATTCCCACCTATCCCCAATTTAAAATGGTATGGCTTTCTTTAACATGCCAATACAAACATATATATTTGACCTACCTTCATACACTGCATTCCAGTATAAGATAATTTCTTGATAGCCACCACTTCATTGGTGCGCACATCTCGTGCCTAAAAAAGACATAAGAGCATTGTAAAAATTATCAGATTAAATCTGGGAAATCATTTCTTTGAGAATAAAAGCATTTATAAACTACCATGTCAAAAAAGATATCAAAACTGCTTTTAAAGAACATTAAAAAAATAACTAAACAGATAGCAAAATACATCAAATTATCAAGGAGCTGGTACTTTAGAAATAAAAGTAATGAATGTTTATCTTTGAATGAGCTAATTGAGAGGAAAAATATAGAAATTTGAATAGAACTGTAAACAAACAAACAAAATGACTAGTACATACAAGTCTATGCTAGGCCTGTAAACTTCAAAATTTCAATGAAATGAACAGCTCTCTAGGAAAGAACTACTAAAATTGCCCTCGAGAAGAAAATTTGAGTAAAACAGTGGTGGCAGACTGAAAAGAATACTAATCGTCTTTAAAATAGTTGTGAGTGGGAAAGTTTCACCAGGGAACTTCCCAGGATAAAAGGGAAGGAAAAAGGAAAGCTCTCCCATTGATTTTATGGAGGCGGTCTAAGCCAGCAACTAAACCTCACCAGCAGCACGAAATAGAAACGTAGGGACCAATTTGACTTATAAATTTAGACAAGGGAACTCAAAATAAAATTTAAAAATACTACATGAGTTATATCGTGTCCTTTTCAGGGTATCATATCTGGATGCATACAATGTCTGTTCATCACTGGTTACTAATTTTCATCACCCACTCAAGGTATTTGACTGTTTCTTTGCAATGTATATAGTTATAACCCCTGTTCCCTACTTTGTATCTAACAAGCAATCCGTGGAGAGATACTTTTAAACTATATAAATATCCTGCTCATCAAACTTTCCCCCTAGGTTTAGCAACCACTGAAGATTCTACCCAAAACAATCTTTGCAATGATTGCTGCAATCTTCAAAATGCTGGTTTTTCCCAACTCTACCATTCCCTTCACATGTATCAGTCAGCATTCTATTATAAAGAAAAGCCCTACCTTTCCGACTATCTATCCATCCTTCATCTATCATGGAAATTAGGAATTCCTATTTTATTCAATGGGTTATAATCAATAGATGTTTATGTTGATGCTCAAATTGTTCCAGATCTGGCCAGTGGGAGCACCTTCAAGCTGGTTCTAGCATCCTCTTGAAAGGGCCCTTTTTTTAAAGCACTTTTTAACCTTCTGGTACAAGATATTCTAGAGCTTATCTTTAATGATCCCTGTCCCCACAATAGAATGAACCATTACTCCAAGAGCTCTTGATCCATGTAGTGAGGAACTCAAGATCTGAGTGCTAAGTGTGCTTGTTGCTACTGGGATATCAATGCAACTAGAATCTTACAGAAGAGAGAGCTAGGAAATATATATGTCATACAATTAGTTCATATTAATGCCACAAATTCCTATCCAATACCTATCTAGTCCCACATGGTTCTTCCTTACTTTTGCCAATTTCCTATTTCTATCATTCTTTTCAGTTAGGATCTGAGTCCAAAATGACATCAAAATTACTCACTGCTCAATCTTGTAACACACAGTTTCAGAACTGTCACACCCATACCAATATGAAACAAGTTTACGGAGAAGAGTTCAAGATTTGTTTGCAGTTTCCTCTTCCCAACCAGACAGAGGGTATACAGTTAAAATACTGTGTATGAAAGTTACTCGTATTAGTTTTGGTTTTTACTCCAATGTGGTTATAGCCCAAATACAGTTGGATTCATTGTTCCTGCTTGCCTTTTCATGACTCCCCCCATACATAATGACTTCATTTTAACTTTTAACTATATAGAATATTTATTATCAAAAGAGGTAAAACAAGTTATCATTCTGTCCTCTATGTGCTTTTTTCTAGTCCCCACACTATCACCATTCTGTATCTTGAATAGTTGTTGTATGGCATATAACTTGTCTAATTTCATTGAACTATACATTTAATATATCTGTATTTACTGTATATAAATTATACTTAATAAAGTAAGTCAATTAAAAAATACTACTGACACTCATTGAAGGGCTACATGACAGGGATCTTTTCAACAGGGTTCTCTTATTGGGCCCATTTATAAGAGTCTGCATATTTTTTTCCTTTATTATTCTATATTTCTCCACATTAGTATTAAGGAGAACAACAGGAGAAGTGTACATTCAGACAAAACTGTAACACAGAAAAAAGGTTGTTTATGAAATACCTGTTTCTGAGTGCCTCTTCCCTTATTCTGTGTCCAACCAGAAATCAAACAAACATAACCTACATCATACACACACATAAAGCATGTGTACACAAAAATATTCTGAAGGATGTTTATCTAAATTTTAACAGCAGCTGTCCTTGGGTAGGAAAATTACAGAGGGAATTCCTACTACCTTATTTTTACCTCTAATTTACACATGGGAAATAAATAAAAAGTTCAAATTGTTACAAATTTGGAACACATTTTCTCTGAGGAAATAATATTTCAAACTGTTGTTTTATTCTTAAGGTTCCCATTAAAACTAAAAAACTAAATCTGTAATACTACCAAAATATTAAACATCTATACAAAACTTTTTGCTGAGGAAAAAAAAAGCAATCTTAATAGGAAGAAATAATGAATGAATGATAATAAAATGTGTGCACGGGACTTTATGTAAGTCAGTGTTTTGCAATATTTGATTCAATAGCAATGTAAGTCATAAAACTGCTAAAGTGGTGTAAACAACATGGAAATTAAAGCAGAATATCTTTCCCATTTTTTCAATAATCTAAGAAGCTCAATAAATAAAATTATCTTTTCATATACACCTAATGCAAGTGAGTATAAAATAGACTATTGACTGTATCTTTTTGTATTACTGATTTTTACTCTTCCAGGACTGGATATTAAATAAACGCTGGTCACTGACATTAAGCCTTTAACACTTACAGAGTACACTGCTCCGAAGGTTCCATGGCCAACTTCTCTGAGATCTGTGAAGAGCTTCTCTGGATCTTCTTTGAAGAAGAGTTCTGCAGTTTCAGGGTCCTTCAGGCTCCCTGTTGGGCTAGTCGACGGCATCCTGCTGGGCAATCAGCTGTCTGATTCTAATGGTATAGCGCTAGCCCAATCCTTGGTTCATCCATATGAATGAAGCCACTTTGGCATAAACTATTGTAGAGAAATGAGAAGAAAAAAGGAAAAGCAAAGTTGCTAAGAATAATTAATATAACATCATTTTCTGACTACATATATAAAATTATCTTAGACCTGGAATTTCACTGAAAAGAAGTGTTGCCTACTAGTGCAGGAGTCTTAAACCCAGCTCATCATCACAGTCACCTACGCTGCTTTAACAAAAAAAGATTCCCACTATATACAGTATGTAATTACATACTATACATACACTTCTAAAACTTAGATAAATCTTTACGTTCTGGAAGGCTTTCTGTATCAGTACTTAAAGATTTATCTAACTCTGATGCAATAAGCTCATCAGCAAAAGAGGTAAATATAGTAGGAAGACCATTAAAAACATGCCCTACAACTCAAAATATGCCCACAATATGTTTCTGACAACAGGAAGATTCCCACCTATTAATGACCTTCAAATGCAAGAAAATAAGACAATAGATTTAATTTGGTAAATTAAATCAGTAAGATTTCTTTTCCTTTCAGATACCACATGGCAGTGTTTAATCAACTTTAACACAGACATTCCTAAGAAAATTGAAATGCAAGAAAATAATGAATTTAACATAGACAGATAACTGTTTCCTTCATAACCTGATTCACATTAAAATATGGCCACATCAAATCTGCTTCCTTACATAAGTAGATACACTTCAGAATTCCTGGTGGTTCTGATAGCAGTTCCTTTATATCAGATTACCAAATTTTAAAAATGACTGCCATAAATGAGAAGCTTCAGAACCTCGTTCTAGAATGACACTGCTTAGATAGGAATCCTGGCAACAATTATTTACCAACTATGAATTTGGGTAGCTTCCTTTTCCAAATCCATAAAATGAAAGTAATAACCTACCTCCTAGAGTAGCTGTGAGGGTTAAATGAGTTGATAAATGGTAAGTATAGACTAGTACTCAGGAACAATAAGCAGTACATTAAATGTTAGTTATCATGACCTCCTTAAATTTACCAATTAAAATTGAAAACTCCAAAATTGATTTCATTAAACTCATAAGGGAAAATAAAGCTCTAGCCAGTTCTTTCCATGCCCAAAGCATATTTTTTTAATTTTTAAATGTTTAAAATTTTTTCAATTTCAAAAATTTTTTAAACTAAAGAAAAATTTTTAAGCCTGTCTCATTTTTAGTGAAGTCAACTGAACCAATTATAATGTTTGTTATTAAACTTCTAACTACATAAAACACATTTACATATCTTTTGCTCCTCCCTAAATTAATACTACATTGCAGTAAAAACTCAAATCATTAGTTTGTATTCCTTTTCTAACATATTTTCAAAGCTGCCCCATATTCTACACTTTTACCAATCTCTCTGCTCTGGAAGTTAGTTCCCTGGAACAGAGCTTCAATTACAATTCTTCCAAGAATATGTGACCACAAGAAAGTCACTTAACTTATCACTTCTAAAATGAGGAGACTGAAATAAATTCTATATAAACTCTTACTATTCAATTAATATACCCGTGAAAAACAAAAAGCCTTCTATGTTACTTAAGACTTTATTTAAGAACTTTGAATTATCAAATTATAGTACCTTTATTACAAGCATTATTTTACATAAAAATTTGTAAGTACCTGCATGATTTGCATCTTATTTTCTATCTGCCTAACAAATTCCCATTCAAAATCTTTCAAAATTTAGATTAAAGGTAATGTTTGTGAAGTTTTCACTCCAGTAGGACGAGCTGGTCACTGTCCCTTCATGCTCCAAAACATCCTTCAGCATTTACTACACCACGAGTACCCCTCTGCTCCAGACAAGTAGGCACGATGTGACTCATTCATCTTTACATTGCCTCTGTACATCCTACACACTATGTCTTACAGATAATATACAGTTATTTGTTAGACTAACCGATTACTTAATTCTTCTCCCTACAGCCCCTTTAAAAAATTTTAAGAAATTTGGCTCAAATTTGAGAAAACTAAAATAGAATATTTTGAAAACTACAACACAAACTCTGATTAGGGAGACTACCCAAACACCTTTTAGCAAATTTTTTTAATCCACAAAAGACTAAATCATTAAAAAAATTTCTACGTCAAAAAATTTGAGTCAAACCCAAGAACAGAAACATCCACATTAACGGTTAATATTCCTTAAATATATACACATTATTCAGATCATTCACAAAGTACCTAATCCAACAATATATAAATGGCCAAAGGATATCAATATTCCATAAGTAGGTAATATAAATAATTGGACAGAGAAGTCAAAACCTGAAATATAATAGGTGTAGTCATGAGTTTTCTGATTCCGCTTTCCTCTATCTCCTGGCTTTGACCAAAGAGTTGCCTGAGTAACTATTTTGATAGTGCTGAAGACAAGAAAACCCTTAAAAGGAATCCTGCTCTTCTGTCCCAAAGGGGACCCTGTGATGTTCAGATTGTGGGGAAATATGCTGTTTTTCCCCTTTTCTTTTTTCTCTCAACCACAGACATGCAGTGCCAAAGGAACAGAACACCCACATGAGAAAAACCTCACTCTCAGGCCCGGAGAGCTAGGAAAAATTCACAAAAGATGAGGGGAACTGTCATTATGCTTTTTCTCATTTTCTCTCTTCTTTCTGCACTTTAAGCAAGGACAGCCCCAGTTACGGGGGAGCTGTACAATGCAGAAGTCTAAACACATCTGTATCTTTCTGATAAAAGCAAATGGGAAAAGGCCACTGGAAACTGAAGAGTATGGAGGAAATCATGGAGAAGAAAACAAGTGGAAAAGACGACCCCATTCTGGGTATGAAGTAATACAAATAACAACTTCTGTTTGTTGAAAATAGACTGAGAAAGTATAGCAAAGACCATGAGAAAGAGAACTAATAATGGATGACATATACTACTGCCTAAGTCCTAGGCTACCACTGAGAGACATAGCACAGGGCAAATGCAAAGAGCTCAGGGAAAGTTTTGAAAACAGAACTAGTATTAGAAGCACCACATACAGAAAGTGAGACAGAACGTGTCATCTAAAACAAACAAATCATGACCTCACCCCAGTAAGGATGGCCAGCATCGAAAAGACTAAGAACAACAAATGCTGGTGAGGATGTGGAGAAAGGGGTGCCCTCCTACACTGCTGGTGGGAATGTGAGCTAGTTCAACCATTATGGAAAGCAGTATGGAGGTTCCTCAAAAAACTAAAAATAGAAATACCTTTTGACCCGGGAATCCCACTCCTTGGAATTTACCCAAAGAATACAAATTCTCAAATTCAAAAAGACATTTGCACCCCTATGTTTATCACAGCACTCTTTTACAATACCCAAGATATGGAAGCAACCTAAGTGTCCATCAGTAGATGAATGGATAAAGAAGATGTGGAACATATATACAATGGAATACTATTTGGCCATAAGAAACAAATCGTACCATTTACAACAACATGGATGGAGCTGAAGGACATTATGCTCAGTGAAATAAGTCAGGTGGAGAAAGACATATGCCAAATGATTTCCCTCATTTGTGGAGGATAACAATGAAGCAAAACTGAAGGAACAAAATAGCAGCAGACTCACAGACTCCAAGAATGAACCAATGGTTACCAAATGGGAGGGGTGTGGGCATCTGGGTGGGGAGGGAGGAAGAAGGGTATTGGGGGGTATTATGTTTAGTACACAAGGCATGGGGATCACCGGGAGAACAGTGTACCACAGAGAAGGCACATAGTGGATCTGTGGCATCTTGCTGCACTGATGGACTGTGACTGCATTGGGGTATGGGTGAGGACTTGATAATATGGGTAAATGTAGTAACCACATTGTTTTTTCATGGGAAACCATCATAAGAGTGGATATCAATCACCTTACTGAAAATTAAAAGTAAGGAAGGAAATAAATAAAACAAATCAACCTTCTTGAGAAGATGCAAACATGACTCAGAAATGACAATATCATATACAAAATGGCCAGAATAAAATTCAAACTTTAGTCCACATGGTGAAACAAACAACACACACATACACACAACTGGAAAATGTGACAAATTATCTCGGAAAAGAAAGGACAGATGCCTATTTTGAGATGCCTCACACTGGAATTATCATATAAAGACATTAAAGCAGCTGTTATAAGCATAGTACATGTACTAACGGTTAATACTCTTGAAAAAACTGGAAAGACTTAAGTTCTTAGCAGAAAAATACAAACTATAAAAACAGATCCACATGGAAAAATTTAGAACTGAAAAATATCATTAAAAGAAAGTGCATGGGCTCAACCACTGAACAGAGATGATAGAAGAGTCTGTAAACTTGAAGATAACAAAGCAATGAAAATTATTTACACTGAGGAAAAAAGAGGAAAAAACATTGGGAAAAAATGAATACATCCTTAGAAACTTGTGGGACAGTATCAATCTGTCTACATTTCACATTATAGGTGTTACATAAAGGAAAAGAAAATTTAATTATTTTAGAGAAACAATTTGTACTAAAAGCTGAAAAGATCACAGATTTGACAAAAACATAAATTTAGAGATTCAAGACACTCAGCAAACCCCAAACAGAGCAAATTCAAAGAGTTTAGGTCTGAGAAGGCCTCAACTCAAAATCAGTAACAAACAGTTAGGCCTGATAAGGCCTAAACATGTCATAATGCTGAAAACCAAAGATAAACTAAAATTTGAATGATTACACATTTCTCATGAAATTCAATGGAGGTCACAGAATGTTGAAAAATATCTTTAAAGTGAGGAAAGAAAAGAACTGCCAGCCCAGAAGAGAATCCTTCATCTAAGCAAAAGTCTTGTGGAATGAATGCAAAAAAAAAAAAAGAGAGAGAGAGAGAGAGACACAGATGATGGAAAGCTAAGAGAATCTGACCTCCATTAAGGGAAATGTGAAATATTAAACAAAAGAAAGCTAAAGGCTATATTAATACCAGACAAAATATTCAGAGCTTCAGAGCTATGAAAATTACAAGGAGTAAAGAGGGACATTACATAATGTTATGATTCCATTCATCAAATTCTAAATGTACACTCACCTGACAAAAGAGCTTCCAATTACATGAAGGAAAAATTGATACAACTGAAAAGAGAAAAGTCTGTAACTCGAACAGCACCACCATACACCAACACTACCAACCAACAGGACCTAATGACATTCAGGTATGTAACCTGGCCACAACAC